AGTAAACGAGTTATCTTTGGGGAGCGAAGATTCATATTTCGCGTATAATATTCAAATTTCACGGTTTACATGTGCTCGCGTATTAGTATTTCAACCTACCGCGATAAATAACTCGACATGTTATCGGAGACAGGTACCGGTACAACCGTTTGCAAACTGGCTTTAGGATTGTAATTCTTACCGCGCATGCAAGAATGCTATATGCAGACGTGAAATGTCGTTATGGTTTCGACGGATTTAACTGAAATACCTTTCGCGGTGGTAGTTACCTATGCGTGCAAAAACTCACGTGGAAAACAATGGAGCCATTCTGTCTGTGTCGTTTATTGTTCTGGCGTACAATACTACATGACGGCTACATTTATCTGCATTTCTGCGTAGTTAAGAAAAGGTAGAAATCACGGCAGGAATGCGTTTTTAAATTTACTCCGAATTTTTATCTAAAGTTAGCGACTACTGATGATTAGTTATTTGCAGCTATTAAAGTAAATTCTGTATTAAATTAATTAAGTAAGATCTTTTATTTAGATTCTTGTTTCTCCTTACAAATCTAAAGTAACATATTTAACTATGCTTATTGAAACTTTAATAAAGATTGAAACTTGACACAGCGTAAAATGCTTCCATAAATTTTCTGAAAAGCACTTATATTGATATTTTTCATAACATATCGCGGTACTCGAGAACAATTTTTCATATAAATATTAAATATTATTATATATTATTAAATATTATTTACAAACTAAAAAAATTAATTTGTTTCTTGATTTGTATTTATTAGGCTGATTTTAATGTTGACTAGTATATTATTATCAGTATTAACAGTCAAGTAACAAGTAATAAAATACGATATGAGAAATTTCATTGTTTAATTCAATTATGTCTTCTTGAGAGTTTTCACCATTTGCATTTATCTGATGAGAAGATTAAACAGAGAAATGCCTCGAAACTCAAAATGGTAGACAATTAAGATTTCAAAGGATAAAGAAGTTTTGATTATTAGCACACGTATATATAACGATTGGCACACAGAGCTATTCGACACGTACAAACTCTCCTGCTTTCAAATATGTATTCGATAGCGTTTCTTGTTAGAAAAGATCCAATTTATGATATCTACGTGAACTTAACCGAGAAGAATAGAGATGGTCTCGGTTCTTTGATTATATCTAGGTCGACGCAGAGAAACTTACGCGAGAAATTCTATTGTAGATTTGTACATTTCTAGCTTTCATCTCGGAAGAACAAAAGTAATTGTCAAGTTTAGTTTCCCCGTGGGAACTCTCGCTGAACAGTTTATTGCATGGAAAATGAACAGGACCCGTATTTCAAACGTATAAGGGCTATTTGTCTCTCACGAAAATTGACGATGACTAAATGAAACTGCCATGAAACACGTAATTGAATTCATGCCACGAATAATTTATTACAACAGGTGTCATCTTATATGTAACCTTTTTTTCGCCCACTCTCGCATTTGATTAACTAACAAAATGTTACACACTCATTGTCAGATAAATCGTATCTAATAACACTATTAAAGTCTTCGAGTAGCACCTATATACAATTTTAATAAAGAATCTGTATAAATTTTTCGCTTTTTTTTATTTTGTTAATTCTATATTATTTGTTTTTTTACTTGGATAAAAATGAGAAGAAATAATTTCTCTTTTGCAGATTTTACATTTTTTTCTCTTCTTATGTATACTTGCAAATTATTTAAATAATTAAAATCCAATCATGGAATAATGTCGTCTAATCCGTAGGCTTACCGGTAAAGGTAATCAATTATTGCAACCTGTTTGATTGGTGAACTTGGTAAACTGTTGTTATTGCGTGCATGCGCGGAGAGCATTATGAGAGCAATAATGCTAATGTCGAAGCAAGAGACTTGTTTGTAATTTGGTGAATGTTTGCGAGAAACACATGATAATTTATGGATCATACACTACATTATTCTACTTGCGTAACTCTAATTACTGTTAACATCACGTTAAAACAATGTAATTGTCTTTGATTGTCAACTTTACCTTTCAAATGCCAAACGATTGTAAATAAGATTTTATTTTACTACGTCAATACGTTAATGCATTATATAATGTCTATTATGAACTGTATATCCAAAGTTTATTAAAATTATTTATGTTGCTAATTATAACGTGTTTTGTTTCGCTGCATTTATTATAACAAGAGATAAGAGATATAGATTTGTATTACTGATTATGTAAAAAGTGTATACATAGTATTATTATTGAACCACATATCATGTGTATGTACAGAGTGTATCGTAACATGTGGGACCCACTTCAGCGGACAGGAGACACAAAAACAATGAAAAAAGTCGGTCTGTATTTGTCCACTTCTAAAAATAGTCATCTCATCGATACTCGAATCTATCGAAGTATTGTTGTCGCTTTTCCGCGATGCCGATTGGTTTTCTCGTTGCGCTTACTTCATGAGCGGCTGTCATGGCTCCATGGTATATTTTGACAGTTGTGTGGTTAATAGTGTAATAGCAATAGTAAAATATTAAAACTAAATTTCACACATTTTACTCAATAAGTTTACTTTCTTCAATTCATTCTCTTGCTAGAAACACTTAATAATTCACTACTTTGCTGTTAGAAATAAGAATAAATGAGTATTCAAATCAGGAAATGGCAGATATGCATTAGATGTATATTTGCCGATTATAATTCAGTCGAAGCAAAACGTCTACCTATACGCGGATCGTTTCTAATAGACATCTTCCAGACAAGAACATATTCTAGCGATTACATGAATTACTTACGAGATACAAGATCAAAAAAACGACACGACGACTGCAAGCTTGCATTCAGGCCGAATGTGGCCATTTTGAGCACTTCTTATAACGTTAAGTAGTTCACATTATTGGAGTACAAACATGATTACTCGGAAACAAGGTCAAATAGAACACATGTTAATACAAACTTTTTTCGTTGTTCTTGTATCTCTTGTCCATCACTGGAAGTTGGTCCCATATGCTACGGTACACCCTGCAATAAATATAAAGAAAAGACTGGAGCTCTAGTTGTGGCTGGTTATTACATTTAATATATTTCCAGAATAAAAGATAATAGCACTGTATATGTCGGGAATATTACATCAGTAATTTAGTGTGGTCGTTTATAAAATGCCTGATACATTTTTGAAGATAAAAATCGTTTTCTGTAGCCTAGAGTAAAATAAATAAAATATATTATCTCTCTCTAGAGAGAGTAATTATCTATTAGTAATATTTTTAAATCTAATTATTATACGTTGAAGTTTGTAATATTTCTTTAAAATCTTTATTTCATGACATACAATTTTCATTTATGTTAATCTCTCTTAAAAATTTATTTTTTTAATTATAATCTTAATTATAAAATATGGTAGAGTGGAGCTAGTCATGCCGGAGTAAGTTATTACAACTTTTTAATTCTAAGAAAAGGTTTGTTACAATTATGTTAATTATGTTTTACTTTTCTAACAAATATACAAAAAATAAAAATTATGTTTCTCAAGACTTTTATAGTACAATGTTTTTTATTACTTGTATTTTAATTGTTAAAATAACAAAAAATAAAAAGTTGATCACAGTTATGTTTATCATATACGTATAATGTGCACAATATATGTAAGTACGTATTTACATTATTCGACAGTTTAAAAAAATATTTATTCAAGTCATTAGTAAAAGTACTCTTCTGGACAGTTTTTTATTTTTCTATCTTTACTTAATATATTTAAAAGAACCTCATATAGGATAAGTTGTGACAGTTGTAGATTGTTACAAATGTCGCCTTTTAAGATTTTTATTAATGTGAGATAAATGAATAATAACTTTACATAAAGAAATATATTTAATATAGTTTAAACATACAGCTTTTGATAAATCTCTCTGTAATACATATCTATCCGATTTATAAGTTGATTAAAAAAAAATAATTAAAAAAGTAAACTCAAATAAAAAGAAAAAATAACTTAAGACTCTCGATAATGAACAAATTGTGGTAACCAAAGGGCTATAAAAGCACAACACGGTTGTGGGTGCATAATTTTATACACTAAAAATGATTTATTTTTATTTTTACAAGAGAATAATCCGAACGTTTCGGCTCCACTGAGCCATCCTCCAACGGTGTAATTAATTATCTACTCATTTTTACACCGTTGAGAATGGTTCAATGTGAAGCCGAAACGTCCGGAATATTATCTTGTTAAAATTAACAAATCATTTTTAATGTATGAAATTACGCATCAAAAACCACGTTGTAGTCTCATAGCTTTTTGGTCATACAAAATTTGTTAGGTCAAAAAAGTGTAACAACTAGCGCACCAGTCTCTCCTAGTACAATAATCTGGAGTAGTTATATTTTATGGAATACTGTGTTACGTGTAACATACAACGAATCGATCTAAAATATCAGTATAATTCGCAACGGAGCAAGCAATTTACACTTTTATTACACGCAACTGCATTTTTTAACGTAAAATTGCTTCGTTTCGCGCGATGGCATTTCGAATTTCTGGCTTACATGCGAAACAGCTATTATCTGAAGCACACATTCTTTCACAAAAATTGTATGCATATTAAATAATTTGAATAAAAATATATAAACAAAAATTAACGATAAATTCTGTCATTTGAAGTAACTATCGCTTTCAAAAAGAATGCTCAGAAGAAGAATGTTATATAAAATAGTACAAATATATTTGTAAAATAATAAATAAATAAGAACATTATCTGTGTTTAAATATCTTCCATAATTGCAAAAGTTTTGCAACAAAGCACTGTTTCTCACAATTCTCCTTGTAAACGTTCGATAATGATAAATGATAATGTCTAAAGTTATTATACAATTTTTTTATAAAAATCGAGAATAGCTTATCGAAAAAGATGATGACACAATACAGGATTAAGCGCCATAAATCTCAGTAATTTATCTGAATCTGTCGAGGAATATTAAACAGCACCAGTGTGTCGTTTGTTGCAGGTACATGGCCATTATGTATCCTCTTAAACACCATATGTCTCGCAAGAGGACAGTGATTACTTTAATTTTAATCTGGAGCATTTCGTCTGCCCTAGCGACCCCGTGTCTCTTATACTCCACAACATCATTGCGCAGGTAATTATGATAATTAAACAAATCGTTCAGCAAACTTTTATTAATGTCGAACGCATGTACAATTTGACTTTGAGTTCTTATATTATTTTAAAATATTATAAATTTATATCTGCACATACAGTTGAAAAATTAGTATGACAAGTGTAAAAATGGTAACAAGGATTATAATAGATTTTACATCACAGTGACAATTGATGTTTATGCCAATAACAGCCTTCATGTACCTTATATTTATTTCTTATAATTTATAATATGTGTATTTGTATGTTATCTCTTATAATGTCTTATAATGCAGCAAATCACTGCAGATCATTCTCTGAAGAACACATTTACGTTTCAGGTTTCGTCATAGTAAATGTATTACGTTGTAAATGTGAAATGCTAGTCACGTTTACAAGGATACATTGCATGCTGTGAAGCATATCAAATTACTTACGCAGCGTAACTTAAAGGCAATACAGAATGTTTGTGCAAAAGTGAAAACTAATATTGCGTATTTTTCATTTTGCTTGCATATAAGCAAAATAAAAAAGATATGCTATATTACTTTTATTTTTTATACAAACATTCTGTATTTTTTATTATATATATATATATATATATATATATATATATATATATATATATATATAT